GCCGTTTCGACACTCCGTACCACCATTTCTTGACGGATCAACCGTTGCTTTGCCTTCTCCTACCGTTGAATAACTGTCTCTCAGTACCTTTCGCGACTGTCGCCCGTTTTCACGCCTCACCCTCCACTCATGTCTGTGCATTCGCCTTCATTATCCGTACATCCTCACTCAGTGCGCCTTCCCTTTCACACGCGCTTTCAGTTCCTTGCACTCTCTCCTTGCATTCCCAGAATCCGCTCACACTCTATCTCTCCTTGTACTCACTCTCAGTCCCTTCCTTGTCTCTAGTTGTCCATTCCCGTCAAAGCTCTTGACGGCCATCTCTTGTTCCTTAATCTCGCGCTCCATTTTGCTGTCCCTTTGCCTATCCGCTATGTCTGCAATATGTTAGCTCATTCACTCTCTCCTCTCCTGTGCGCTCGTTGTCACGGGATCTTACCCTCAATCTCTACCTGTCCGCTTTGTTATTTCCTATGACCTCTATCCATCGCTTGGCGACAGCCCCCTCTATCTCCACAAGGGATGAGCGTCATCCATTTAGATGCAGTTTTCCCATGTTTTAATGTTCTCATTCTGTCTCTATGATACATTGTTTGCCATAAGAAAAACAGCCAATAATGCATTGTCTTGATTACAGCCGATACACCCACATACCACCCTTCTATTACCCCATCTCCTACTCTCAATCCACCTACAGGAATTACGCCTGCGGATAAGGTGCCAACTACCACATCCGTGCACAAGTGGCATGTGTTTGAGAGTGTGACGCTCGCGGGAGCTAAGCTCATTGCTAACACCCTCAAGGAATGTAACCAAGCGGGCTTGGCCAAGCTGGAAGCCATCACCCAGCTCATCATGAGTGCGATCTCAGCCTCTGCCACGTCTACTCCTAATAATGCAGCCACCAACACTCCTGATGCAGCAGTGCAGTTTGGTGCGCCTCTTGAGACGACTGGCACCCCTCCTGAGGCGGCTGGCACCCCTTCTAGGCTGGCACCCCTCCTAACACGGCTGAGGCGCCTCCTAACGTGGTTGGAGCGCCTATTCCACTAGACCCTACGGGCCAGCAGTAGGCTGGCGGTTGCACCTCAGGTATGCCCTCCTGAGGCACTTCCCAAAGTACCTGCGCCTCCGATGTAGGTCCTTTGGTGTGCATCGCTGCAGAGATGGGCACATGAAACGCTCCATGCCTCAACACATCCACCAGCCATGGCTCACGCTTGCTCCCACCCTCCCTTTGATTGCTCTCTTGCGTCGCAGGCGGTGCTGCATCATCTTCGTTACCATATTATGAAGAAGGACGATGCAGCCGGTGCCAACACACACTCTGCCCAGTCGGCACTCGTGCCTTCGCCCGAACTGATGCCACCGACATTTGAGGGCACCAATGCACCGCTCTACCGGCATCCGTGTAGCGGATCGCAGTTGAATAGCTGTTCCCAACCCTTGAACAATCGTTTGCTAGGAGCATGGAGAGGTGTCAAACAGTAGGTTCGGAGTGGGTAGGCTGCATCACCTAGTAGCTGGTAGTCACCTAGGTCCCCTCTCTCCAGCCGTTCATATAACTTGCTCCGCACAAAAACCCAGTGATCATGCACTGCGCCTGGGTATCCCACCATGTAGTCCCATATTATTCCCTTTGCGTCACATGTCACTTGCAGTTGCACGGGTAAGAGACTTGCGGTTGTAGTACTCCGTGCGATGGTTCTCCATACCGCGCACTGGAATGTGAGTACCATCCACAGCGCCAACAACGTTGGGTACTCCTTTGATCTCCTTTAACTCTGCAGCCATGCGCGGGAGTTCATCCACGGATGGAAACCACACCCAATCTGCTCTGAACATCCTTGGGAAGTGCACCAAAAAATTGTCAACCAACTTGTGACAGAGGGTCTTTGGAACGCCAAAGAAAATGGACATGTCAACGTATGACAGGGCCGAAGCAAAGTACTTGACGGGGATCAATGCGCATAGCTGCAGCGGATTGTTGTGGTTGTGAATGAAAGGTGCAAGAACTTGCTCCATGCCATTCGCAATCATGGCCGTAATATCCTTGCTTATCCTGAAGACGTCTTGGATTTCTTAATCAGACATGAGCTCAATTTCTGAAAGCCACTCCGTAATACGATCGAGCCGTCGCCTCTTCCTCGTCGCCATCTTCTCCTTGCGACGCTCGTCCTCTTCTTCACCCTCCACACACCCCTGTTCGACTAAAGCCAGCCATGACTGAGTGGCAGCTACAACAGAGGGTAGAAGAGTCTCTTGATAAAAAGTGTGCCAGAGCTGCGGTAGGCATGCCAGGAGGGTGAGTTGATTAAGTGTGAGCATTTTGAGGAAGCGTGGTTGAAGACAATATATTAACTTGTGTATGTTTGCCTTTGCTTTATAACCAGAGATGTAATGTGAAAAGTCGATTGTACAAAGTCGCCGCCAACACGAGAGCTTTGTGTTATCGAGTGGGAGGCAAACAGAATTGCCCTCGCATGCATACAGTTGACCTCCCCACTGTCGATTCCGGGGTTGAATTGACGGTGGAATTTTGGGGCGACCTCCAATGTGTCGCACGGAATCTCCCTGTCTCATCTTAGAAATAGTACGTGATTTCGATTGGCATCGTTGGATTGCGTTGTGACCAACGTGGGTTTCCTAGTCGGATAACCCAAAGTCGAATCGCAAATCATGCGCCTCGCCAAAATTTAATTCGGATGACCCGAAGTGCTGATGACCCGAAGTGCAGGAATGCACCCTCACTTGCTCACTTCGTGACTTTGCTTGTACTGTGATCTATATCTATACCTGCATGCTTGCCCCTGCTAGGTTATGATCACTATACTGTTTGTTCTCATTTATATAACTCTGCATGTGGACTGGCCTTGTGGCCATTTGCTTGTGCTCAGAGTGTGTGGTGACTTTGTGATCCACCCTGAGCTTGCTTTGCTTTTTCTTGACTGGTCTTGTGACTCCTGTTCTCCCCCACTTTGCCTATGGGGGTGTGTCAAACTGTTATAATCTTTATTTTGTGTAGGCTGTAGTGGGGTAGCCCGTAAAGGGTACAACCCAATTAGGGTTAGTACTTGTACTCAGTTTCTTATCAATGCATTCTTCCTCGTTCAGTTTCTTGACATTCTTGAAACCTTACTTACACATGATTGGCTGCTCAAATTGTTTTGGATCAAGCCCTTACGAGCTCCAACTGCCAACCAACTCGAAATCATAGGGCAAACTCTCTATCGGCTGTATTTAGCTTTCACTTGCAGAGTGGTTCAACTCAGTTTTTAGTTGACGGGCCACGTTTTGCAGTTAGAAAAATTAAGTACTCCCCCCCTTCTACCTTTACGACGGCTACTGCAGGGCATCGGCAGCCTTCATCTACGGCAGAAGTTCCGCTACTCTAGTTAGTACCATGGTTATTTACTACTCACATTGCTCTATCTGGCCACAATGAGTCCCATACTACATGCATGTTTACACCTTCTTGCTGTTAAGATATAAATAGATGACGTGCGCAAATGCTTAAGATATGAAAAGGTAACGGCGACGCACATGGCGAGCGACGACAACGATGCGAGCACTCGCAGGGGCTGGACTCATGGCACGACTCGTAGCAACGGCCGCGACTTCCGTATGCTTTCATTACCCTCGCTTCTCCCTTTTCACATCCATTTCAAGCACTTCCCTTCCACTTACCATCTCTATTTGCCCGTCCCATTAGAACTCTTCCCTTCCCCTTTTATCCTTCTCCCTTTTCGCGTCCTACATTATCCTCCTCTACCTTTACGACTTGGCAGAACTCGATGCGGGAAATCGCTTCACACAACGACGGTTACGGGTAATGTGGTGATAGTGATGCTCAGCGGCAGCCTTCTGCAGTGCGGCAGCAGCGACCACATTCCGCGTCACAATCGAACCCCATGTTCACTTCGTCGTAGATATTCATACCTGTCAGCTTATCCCCCTTGGCTCTTAACCTCTCATTTGTCGATGGCTGTCATTCTTTGTTTCCCTTACCCCCATCCCCTCCTCCAAGCCGACAGGGAGCCCCAACCAGTGTGCGTATCTTCACTCGTGACAGTGACACCCCTTCCTCCTCCCCCGCTGCTACTGCATTTGCCAGGTGGTCCAATTTCTTCGTAGGCTTCTTTTTCTTAACATATTTATCGTCACACATGCTTCTTTGTGCCTCCCCTCCCGCCATCCGCTCCGCCTTCCCCCAGGGAGCACCAGCCAGTGTGCGGATCTTCACTCGTGGCAGTGCAACCCCTTCCTCCAACCTCTCTATTTGTGCATCGCGGTTCAATCACTTCCCTTCCCCCTACCTCTCTCTTTGCGCATCGCTGTTCGATCGCTCCCCTTCCCCTTCTATCGTTATCCCTTTCCGCATCTTTTTTAATGTTCCCTTCCCCTTTACTATCCCTTATCCCTTTCCGCCACCCAATCTACCACGGTAATCGACCACGGTATGCTTTCCTTACCGTTCTAGAGGTACCAGTGGGAACCTTCTCGCAGCGCAATTTACAGCAGTGGTAGGGCCGGCAGCGGAAAAGTTTGCAGCGGCAAAGACAGGGGAGGGTGCACCAGCGGCAACTGCGGCGGCGACTGCGGCGAACAGCGGCATCAGCCAGTGGGTGCATTTAATCCACGGGGCATGGCCGACGGGCAGACATGGGAAGACCGCCGCAAGTCAAGGCACCAAGAGCGGCAACAGCTACGACAGCAACAGGCGTGCTTTGATGGTGTTTGGTTTGCGCCTCTGAACTTCGCTCGATCTCCTACCCTTTCCATTATCATTGCGCTCCTCCCCTCTTCCCCCTCCTTCCCCTCCGACAGTCATTAACATCCTAGTTTTTCTCTTACCTCGCTGACTTTCCTGTTCTCCGCGTCCCCCGTGCGCCTCTCTCCCCTTTGCCACCACTCCCCCTTCCCCGCTCATTCCCTTCCCCAGTTCCTGCAGCGCACACGATTTGTCGTCCGTGTGTTTGACAGAGATGGTTTCCGATTTCATGGAAACCGGCTCAGCGAAGAGCCGCACTCTCGACCACCGCCTGCTCGACGCGATTCACGGCAGCGAGGGTGGCTATAACGTGGATGGCGCGGATTCGTTCTACGCGCGCATGGCGGAGCAGGACGCGCAAGCTCCGCGGATGGGGGAGAGCGGCGGGCGTCGCGGAACGGAGGACGTCTCGAGCCTCATTGAGGTGAGGGGGAAAGGGGACAGGGAGAAGAGGGGAAGTCGGAATGGGGATGGGGATGGCCAGTGAGGTTGATTTGATGTAGCTGCCGTTTTCCCCCCTATCAATCGTGAAATGCAACTCATCCGCCCCCATCCTTTTCGTTTCGCCCTTTCCGCTTTGCGCCCACCTCTGCGGACGAGTGCCAGCTGTTCGCTGACGTCATCACCGACCTGAAAACTGCCAAGAATGAAGCCTCTTCCTCAAATGCTGCCAGCGCTAGCAGCGCTAGTAGCACTAGCGGCAGCAGCAATACCACCGCCAGCAGCGGCGGCGGCGGCAATGGCAATATGAGGCGAGCAGTCATGCGCTTGCTTCGGGCCAAGGGGCACGATGCTGCAGTGTGCAAGGCACGGAGGGAGCACTCCAAGTGCCTCCCTGCCAATTGTGGTGGTTGTGCTCTGAACCATCTCTTACCTTGACATGCTGGCATGAGTTGCTGTTTTTGTGGTGCAGGCTGAGTACCCCAACGGGCGCTGAGGACGAGGAGGAGGAGGAGGAGGAGGAGGAGGAGGAGGAGGAGGAGGAGGAGGAGGAGGAGGAGGAGGAGGACTGTGTGTGATCTTGTGCGTGCTTTTGTATAAGGATGCTTCTCTGTTTTGTGGCCTAATTTTATAAATCCGCTATTCTTGAATCACCATGCAAACAAGAAGATTTTAACTAGATATTTTGGATATGTAGGCTTGTTATGCTGTATTGTTACATTTGTTACCCTGTACTTACGTTGGGTGTAGCTTCACTGTATGTTCTAAGTATCCGCTTCGAGATTGGCACTGCCGACATTCTCCGTACTGCAGTGCCAGCTGATGTCGAAGGATCGAGTTGCGACACAGTAATCACTGTGCGGGGACTTTCGACCCCCGCGGAGTACCAGCAGGGTTGGTACATTGAAACTACTGCACGCTGCGGTGAGTAGTAGTTGCTATGTATCAGCGTATGTTCATACATACTCCACAGGAGTGAATTCGCGACTTAGTAAGTACACACCACTTTTATTGTACATAGTATGCAGGCACGCGTTTGATACTTTGGAATGCACTTATCCGATGCACTACCTTTTATTTCGACCCCGTCATCTGATCAAGTCCTCCCCATCACATGATCCCGCCCATTCCTACCATTGATCATAATCTCACTCTCCTGTCAAGTGCAGCAGCCGTGCAAGTCACGCGTGGCGAACGTGTCATCTGTTAGTCAAACACGTGTACCCATATATATTCAAATTACCCCCACCCTCCCTTGTTCCTCCCTACAGTTCCTGCTTGCGGGTGATTCGTGCAAGGCGTATCTTGTGAAGGCCTCAGCTGTTGGTGTCAAGCCAGTTGAGCTCAAGGCTGCGAGCGGTGCAGTCGAAGCTTCCATGGTGGCTCCCGACGTCATATCGTTGCGAATGGTGCAGGTGCATGGCGTGGATGACGTCATCCTACCCAAGACTGCAAGGGCGATGACGAGAACCTCAAGCCCTGCAAATGCACTGCCTAGGATGCTTAGAGTTACACGCCACCAACTAGGTGGTTATCAGCTCGGTAACCAGTCTAGGTTGTTACCAGGCTAGATGGTTACTGGGACCATAGTTCCTTTGTAAGAGGGCCCTACGATAGCAAGGGCCCTCGACGAATGTTGACTTGGCAGGTCGGTGGCTAGGGACCGAGACTATTCGGCACCGATGCTGATTTCAGTGGCGGTCACGAGCGACTACGAGTGACAACGGGTGACTACGGCGGAGTCGGTGCTGGGAAGAAGAGTCGTCTTGGTGTGCTTCCTTATGAGGCACGCCATTCCCAAGCTGAGTTGGGTGGAGTGGCGTGCACGGAAGTGCCTCCGTTGCTGAGTTGGATGGAAGTTTGGTGGGGCACGTTCGCCCACCCTCACAAACCTTCCATGAGGGTGGGGTTACTTGCAGCCCCACGCAACATTGTGAAACCCCTCGCCTACCTATATATGTTTGTGCTTGCTTGTGTATTTTAGATAATATAACTTTTAGTCAAGTCCAATTGCTACTTGGTTTCTTCCTTAGTCACTTGAGACAACGCTATTGAACTCTACCGAGTTGTTGGCGCAACACCGTTCACATAGCAGAAACTCTCTCGCTACGCTTTTTAATAAATTCCTTAATGGTGTGGTGAGCGTGGAACAAACACGCATAGATTTTCGTCGCCATTCGTTAGTATACTCGCCTTGGCGATTCTGGCGTTAGTGAAGGGTGCTTATTGATCTACGTTGAACCTCTCTTAATTTCCCTCCAGTTACGTTCTCAGACCCAAGGTTAGGGCGTTTGGCATTATAATACACTCGCCTGAGGACCCCTGTGAGGTGACCCCAAGATGAGGGATTTAAGGAAGGGACAATTTGTTTTATTTTGTGGCACCTTTTAGAGACGTCATAGAGGATGAGCACAGAGGAGGCGAACGTGGAGGACGGTAGTCTGCGCGCACTAGAGGAGGATCTCGTGGCTCGTCATTCTAGTGGTGAGATTAGTGATATAGAATACGAGCTCATGATGGAGGGATTACGCTCTCCTCAGCGTCACTCGCCTCGTGTAGAGAATGTCGAGCAAGCTGCGGGAGGAACTAGTGCATGAGATATGCTTGGCGACGACGGAGATAACGATGACGAGGAGTTGATGTCGCGTGGGGTCCTACGAGGACCGACTCGGTTTAGTACGGCTAGTGTAGGTGGTGTACAGGAGCGTGTCCATCGAGCGGCGGCGTCACGAGAGCATGAGAATGTAGGACGGCAGAGCGTTGCTGGAGGAGGGAATGCGGAGGAGTACGATAGTGCGGCTATGCCGGGCGTTACCCCGATGGGATTGATGTCGAGGGACGAGAGAATAGCCCCCAACTATGGCTACTTCAAATTCACTCCAGACAAGATCGTCGCCCATAGGCCATTAGAAGGACGTCATGACATGTCGACGTGGACCGAATCGATTGAGCAGCAGCTTGAGATCGCTCAGCTAAAGCGATTGATGGATGGTAGTATCCTCATTCCACCAACGCAAGCAATTGTGCATCTCTCTCAGTTTCGCGCAATGCAATTGCTGACGTTCACCACCGTTTCCCGATGCTGCTTCCCAACCGTACAGGTCGCCCTTAAAGCGTGTCGCATGAAGGTAGATGCCGACTTTCAGGCGTGGCAGTTTATTATGTGCACGTATATGGCGAAGGACGACCTGTACATAGGTTAGTCAGAGCAGGCTCTCACTAACCTCGAGATGGGAGAGCACGAGTCCGCCACGTCCTATTGCAACCGTACGCAGCAAATCCTAGTGAACCTGAGTATGGCCAGCGTAGATTACTCATAGGCGTCGTACATTACTCACGTCGTGAAGGGGTTGCCGCAGTAGTACAACCTCTTACGCAGGATGCTGAAATTGCCGCAGGTGCGCAAGGAGCTGGACGAGGACACCCTCGCTAGCTTTATCATCGAAGAGGAGTGTACGTTGGCGGCTGAGGGATGGAGGGACCAATTTCTTCCCCAGGCGAACCAAGTGTTTACAAAGAAAAGTAAGCCCTATTTTTAGTAGACTTCATCCCCTTCCCCTCCCACTACGGCACAGCAGCAGCAGCCTAAGCATGGGGATGGGGTTAGAAGGGAAGGGGAGAAGGGGAAATGAGCTAAAGGTGGCCAGCCGAAGGGGGAGAAAGGGGGCTTCAAGGGGAAGTGCTATGTGTGTGGACAGCTTGGTCTTGTTGCTAAGTATTGTCAGCAACGGGCGGATGAGGAGACAATGGTGGAGAGGGTTCTGGAGGCAGTAGTGTGACCAGCAAGGGGGATGAGGGCTCTATAGGGAGCTGGCAGTCCCCATGTGCGATGGTGAAGCCCATTGTAGAGCATACTCCTCCCGTCATGCTGGAGCCTGAGGCTGGGGAGGGCTTACAGGCTGTTGCAGCTGTTGTGAAGGGGACCCCGAGCGTCGTGCTCTTGGATAGCGAATGCTCCCACCATCTCATGGGAGAGCGCTCTGCCTTTGTGGAGATGAGCAGCGGCTGTACCGGTATCAAACAGGTTATAGGCTTCAACGGCGCTCCTCAGGAGGTGCAGGGACGAGGCATAGTGTCTCTCCTTGGAGACGGGGCCAGACGCATCTTGGTGCCGGACGTGCTGTACGTACCTGGAGTGCAGCTGCGTGATAGTGGCGTGCAGTTGCTGGATGCCGGGGACGTGACCCTGTTGCGCGCGCCAGATGGGTCGCTCCTTGGTTGTGCGGAATTCAAGGGACGTGCCCTTTGCACGAACTTCCAGCAATGCTTGACGCAGCAGCAGAAGGGTGAAACGGTGGCCTTGCGCACTTTGGCAACGGGCGTGCGATCTAAGATGGACACGTGGCATGCGCGCCTCGCACACGACGGTGTTGACGCCATAGAGCGTACTGCGGCTCACGGGACAGTGAAGGGCTTGGAGTTGGAGAAGGGGGGGCAAGTCAGGCATGCCATGCGTCTTTTGTGTTGGGGGGAAGATCATCCATCATACCTTTCCTTCTGTGGGAGAGTAGGAGGATGAGCTGCTTGGGGTGGTGCATGCTGACCTTTGTGGCCCTTTTTGTGAAGCAGCTAAGGACGACAGCCACTACTTTTCTGTGCTGAAGGATCACAAGACGCGGCACGTCTGGGCCTACCCTTTGGCCAAGAAAAGCGATGCACTGGCAGCGTTCCAGAAGTGGCTCCCGATGTCAGAGAGTGCAAATGTCGGAAACTCACCCACCTCCTCGTGTACTCCTCTTGGACTACTCTGCTCACACCCTTCTTGACTGCTCTGCTCACTCTTCCCTTCCCACTTTATTCTCTTGACTGCACTCATTCACCACTTGCATCACTCGTAAACCTCTCCCTGCATCCTTCCTTCCTCACTCTGCTTCCTTGCGCTCTCTGCTGTCACTTCTCTGTCGGTGCCTCTCGTTCCTGCCTTCCTTGATGTGGTCTTCCAGTTACTTCTCTGATGAGCTCTCTGCTCCTTCACACACAATGGCTTCCTAAATTACTATGTCTTGCTCGTCATATCACCCTATCGTCACTATTTGATCGTATTGCTGCAAAACATTCGTGTAAAAAGGGAAACATACAAGCAATAAGAATTGCAACCAAGGTTCCGCCTATTCTACCAGCTCTTCCACCTCCATGACTCAATCCCGTCATCCTAGTCTACTTACTAGTGGCTATGAGCCTCTACGAGCAGACTTGCAACCGTGCTGCCTCTTGCCACCCATTCCCAGCCCTTGCTACTTTGCCTCCAGCTGCCATCATCCAGCTCCAGCTGGCTTTTTGGAGCAATCCTGCTCACATATGGAAACAAACACGTATGCACTCGTACACCCATCCATTGCTCGCGGTGAAACTGCCTTCCTGCTGCCGCTGCCTTGTTCTCTGCTGCTTCCCCCTGCCACCAGCTTCTTGCTTACGTAAGTACCGCCCCATTCTCTCCCATGCAATCCTCCGACCCTCTGCCCCTCGCTTCGTGAAATTCTATCTGACCCTTCGGCTCCCATCCGTGTACCTCGCTGACTCGCTATATACAATATATAAAATATTTTCATCCCCCTTACGCTCTCTCCTTACCCTTCAC